CTCCTCTTGTGATATCTCTTGTATACACATGTACACATTACAAACAGCATCTAAGTTGGTCAGCATCAGGTTATCTCTCCAGTAAAGAGTATAGTCTTCTTCAGAAAATTATTTGAAAGGAAAACAAAGAATGCAGCAATTTGAAATTATGAGCAATAATGTTTTCATTGTACCTATAGTAGTATTTTCCTTCTCTTCCTGCAAAGATGAAAGTAAATAGCTCTTTTTGTTGTTTGTTTGTTGTTGTTATTATTGTTATTGTATCTGGTATAAAATCTGTACTGAGTTTTTGTGCAAAAACAACACATTATTTATCAGAAAATAAATTTCATTTCAGATTTGACTGAAGTGTATAATAAATGTATTTAGCTGAATTGAACTCACGCAGTTCTTCTGTCTTCTTTCACCTTTTACACTCTCTGGATTTTTACTAAGAGATTTCAGATCTGAACATTCATTGCTTGATGATTACCATGTCAAGCAATGGTTTACTAGATTAATTGGCTGCCACAGATTAAACACAGGTTAAACAACCAACCATGGGTCCTGAAAAATATTGACTACATATCAGCATCAAAATATTGATATACATCAGTTGCAAGAATTTATGATGATCAGTTTTGGGTAATATCTTAATTTTGACTCTTAATCTTCTCAGAAGGTCTGGTGCTGCCCATGTATATAACCACACATCACACAAATTCCTATCCACACTTGCTCCACACGTGTACAGCTGACATGGTTTCCTTTTGTAAAGTTTTATGTCTGAAGAAAGCCAGAGCAGAGGAAAGATCAGGATGGAAAGCTAGATGGGCTCTAGAGGAAGCAGAATAACTTTTGATTCCCGTGACAGATACTTGCAAAGAGGGCAAATCCAATCTTGAGTTTCAGGGGAAGGTGATGGGTGTTAAGAGACATTCTGTGGTGTTCTGCCCCATCTCTGTCTTCCTTGCCCAAAATGTTATGGCAGGTACAGATAGTCCTAACTTCCTCATGGTACAATCAGTCCACAAACTTGACCTGGAAGCTTTGATAGAAGTCAGGCAGTATTACCTAACATGTGTTTTTTATTTATATAGATATGTTTATCTCATTCTCCTAATATGATAGCCAGTGTATCATAGTGATTAAGGTGTTGGATTAGGAGAGGGGAGACTCAGTTTCTAATCCATCTCCGTCACGGAAGCTCATTGCGTGACTTTGGGCCAGTCATTCTCTCAGCCCAACCTACCTTACAGAGTTATTTTGTTTGGGGGAAAAAATAGGAAGAGAAAGGAGCACTAGTGCCCATCCTTTAGCTCCTGGGTAAAAGGTGAAAGATCAATTGTTTATTAAAGAAATAATCCTTATGCAGTGTGGCAATCTAAAACCCATCATATTATATTAGAAGAGAAATCTTATGCAATAAAAATGCAACTGAAGTGGGATCACAAATCAAGCATGCTTGTTTAATAAAATATCAGGCATTTAGCGAAAGGTTGACCAAACTACAAAATCAAATGGAGTAAAATAAAAATCACCAGCCAGAGAAAGACAATGTAAATAAGGATAAATAGTGGTGATATTAATATCATGTTCAGAGTTTTATACAGATTTCTAGTTATTTTGTTTAATGATAGAATAAACCTAGTTCTATAATTAATTAATTAATGAAATGATGAATTTCAAAAAGAACTGTTTATTTACTGATATTCTTTTATCCACTATGTTTCTCTTTTTCTTCTTTCTGCCTCAAATGCTTTAATAAATAAATCAAGGGGAAAAAATGGGGTTTCAATCACACACCTGTGGCAGCCATCTTGACTGTTTTGACCTCCCCTTGCAAGAACCCCTGGGAACAGCAGTTGCAGAAAAAAATAGCAGTTTGCAGGACTGAGAAATTATACATATTAAAAATGTTAGGTTTGGAGGGGGGGAGGAATATTGTTCTCAGTCAGTACATTAAAGGCAACCATCCAACATAAGCTTCATAATCATTCACAGGTGACATTCAAGAATGTCACACCAAAACACAGTCTTCAGTTATGGGATGGAGATTCAACCTGTTTTGTTTCACTCATTTTCTGGATTCTAAAGCTGAAAAAAACCTGATATACCTAACAGCTCTACCAAAATTCTCATATTGTCAGGGACCTTCTCCCGAAGAAAGATAAGAACAATTCTTTCCCCTTTGAATGTTTGAAAGATGTTAGGCATGACACAGGCCAGACCTGTAATTGGCTCAAATACTGGTCAGTTTTGTTCATTTGATCTGCTTTAGACTCCTTAGCTTTATTCTCTGTCTACATTCCAGTGAAGTTATTAGTCAAAGTAATTGTTTATTTTTTGCCAGAAAAACAAACTATAAAGCACTCAACGCTGGAGCTGACTAAACCATCCCTTTGTTTTGTTTGACTTGCAAAGTACTTTATACTCTGAAAAATTATTCTATAATGGATGAGGAATCTGCTAAAAATTTTGCCCCAGACAACTTTAATTTGTTGGCACAATGAGAACTATCACGGAACAAGACCACCAAGAGTGCTCTAAAGACAACCGAGAAAAAAAAAAAGACATTTATCCACTGTCTGGTACATGGTGTGTGTGCTTTTGTCAAAAGAGAGTTAGAGATGATAGATAGAGATAGATGTAGAGATAGAGATGATGGAGATGGAGATAAAGATAGAGATAGAGGCTGCCTGGTCTAGCTTATTTCAGAAGAGTGCATCTCAACTGCCAACCAGTTAGTATTTCACTAGTCTAACTTGTAAAGTTTTGTTCTGTAAATGTTGCCATATGACAAGATTAGAGAATCCACGATTCTTCCCAGTTCTGCCCTGGGATCTTGCTGATGTCTCTCCAGGTTTTCCCTTTGGACTCACAGAAGTCTTCCCTGACTGTTCCATTATTGTCTTGGTTGTATCGTATTTTGTCTGTAATTCTCAAAAGGAAGGCAACCTAGCACCCTATAATTCCCACAACCATTTCAGCCAATGGTTGAAGACTAAGATGGTTATAGCCATCTGGAGAGAACCTGCTGGCCTCCCTCCAAAAGCCTTCATCAGAAGCAGACATGGATTTGTCTGAAGCTTGGTCAAGACATCCCATGTTTCTGGATCCTGGCAGCAGTAGTTAGCAGAAGCAGGGACAAGCAATAGATGCAGCTGCATTCAAGCAGCATCAGGGTCTGAAGCCTTGGATTGTGGGACTATGAAGTAGCATTCAGACTGAATTGCTTGACAATGGTTTGAACACATGGGACTGTCTGTCTACCATGACTTTTGCCCATCTGGTAAGGTCAGGCACAGTTGGTGCACTTCAGGTCCCTTTAATCAAACAGTGTCACCTATAGGGACCCAGGAAGTGTGCCTTCTCTGGAATGATATCCCTTGGGAATGATATCCCCCCGGAAATCCATGTGGTTCCCACCCTAATGATGTTCTGGAGGCCTTTAAAAAATGGCTGTTCTCCCAGACCTTTGGGTAGGTTGGTGGTGGAGCCCTGACAATGTTCTGTTACAGGAAGTATTATTGTCTGGACGCTTTAGATTCTTTCTTTATTTTTTTTCCTGTTTTAAATTATAATCTGCCCAGAGTCATTCTGGAGTTGAGCAGCTTCCAAATCTACTAAACAAACACAAGGGTGCAGGGAAGGATGAAAGGCCATTTCTGTATAGGGCTTGGCACTCAGACTGTCAGTTTGCTTTTTACATATAGGATACCTCAGAAAAGCTAATCATCACACTCCACCATAGGTTGCATTATTCTTCCTCTGCTTAAGGATGAGCAACAGTATTTTGTGAGAAGCCATTCTTGAACCAGGAGTTCACTACTGACTATGACATTAGATCAACTCTCCCTGGGAATGGTGCTCAGCATCCATTCTTGATGGATCGTGCCCTAAAATTAGGATGGTCCATGTGCCATACTGCTAAAGCTGTACAGAATAAATCACAAAATAAAAAACAACCTTGATCACAAGGTCTCAATTCCTCTGAGAAGGGTCACCACTTTGGGCAGCAGAGCACATGGTTTTCATGCAGAAAGAGTCTTGGTTCTGTCTCTGTCTAAAGACCCGCAGAACTAGGAAGTCCTATGTGTGCATTGCTGCCAGTCAAAGCAGTCAAGGTGGAACAAAGAAGGTGAGAATCAACTTAATCTACTTAAAATCAAGCCAACCAATAAGCAAATTATTTGCTAATAGGACTGCCAAGATCTCCTGGGAAGTAAGTGCTTAACAATATCTTCTTGGAATATCAGAAGGAGGAATAAGATTTCCAGGATATTTTCAGCAAAAGATGTATTAGAATATTTCTTTTAAACAAGATGCACAATGTTGATTTATTTAAATCATCATTTAGAAGCACACCAAAAATTCAGCTGCTTATAGAAGAGAAGTCAAATTGTCCTGGATTCAAAACTGCAGTATGTATTGTAGCGCAGCCTGTTCTACCCCATTATAGGTAAGCCTAATTGCTGCTTAAAACATAGGGCAGTATTTGCTGCTATGCTGCAAACCTACCAAAGTGAGAAGCAATTCTTTGATATTTCACTTGCCTTAATTAAAATTCTGCTCCGTCACCATCCTTTCAGCCCCTCGACTCAGCTGTTTGAGCATGCTTGGCAGGTACTGTGACAAAGAAACCCTGACAAAATTTTAATAAAAAATGACTGAATTATAAAGAAGATAAAGGAATAAAGTTGTACCTTGTGATGTATATATTTGAATGGAGACGAAACAGGCTTCCCATTTGTATCACTCAAATTGCTTTGAGATATATCCAGAAGAGATCATCTGTCTGTGGGCTTCCTTTTATTTAGAAAAATAGAAAGCAGTCTGTATTTGAAACAGTTGCATCAGAATTGGTGAGACACAGTTTTGTAATCTGGAGCGTTTTGAAAGGAACAAGGAAGGACATTTTGTTAAAAACAAAATAAAACAAAACCAACAGAACAAAACAACCCAAAGAAGAAGAACATCTATCCTGTCAGGGGCAAATTATTATTATTATTATTATTATTATTATTATTATTATTATTATCATCATCATCATCATCATCATCATCATCATCATCATTTGTAATAAATCTTTAATCAGGCAACTTTAGTATAATCCATTGACAGAAATTGGAACCATCCAAAGTTGATTCTTTGGCAGGTCTCCTCCCGATGATACTTGCTGCAGCTAGGACACTTGACTAGATGCTTCTTCAGCTTGCATCTCTGCCCTTGGTATTTCATCTTCATCAAAGCTGTTCTCATCAGCATCTACGTCATCTGGAATATCATCTTCTGTTGGCTCATAGTCAGAATCATCTTCCAAGATCAGGTGCTGCCCATTCAGATATATTGGGCCCATTCCCGATTTTAGGATAAAAGAAACAGGGGGAAGCAATTCAAAGCCATCAAGACAGACCATTGCTAAGACAGAATGTTTCAGTGATACAATCAGTACTGGCTCAGGAACACTGGCCATATTTCTGGACTCCACAGCCAACACGTGGGTCTCATCATTAGCATCTTCACCCAGGGTCACTGTTCTCAAATATACTAGGTGCTCTAATAAGTCATCTTCTTCTTTCACTACACATCTTGGGGTGGTATCATTCAACTCACAGCCCCAAAAGAGAGAGGCAGGATTTCTTTCAGTAGAAGCTGAACTTGAGGGAAGTGAGTTCATCTTGTTTAGGTGGATCAGATTAATAGAGTCCTAAAAGCTTGGAAAAGTTCTGCCCTGCCAGGGGCAGTTTATAACTAATTTGGCACATTGCTAGTTCCAGTTCTTTGCAGGGACAAACACTGAGGATGGGGAATATTCCTATTCATGGTGGGTTCCCCCTCCCCTAAATTTTACACATAATAACCAATCACATGAGCACTGCTGCATCTGGCTTCACTCCAAGAGAATGACATAGGAAATGCTGGGTTCCCTATAGTGATGCATCTGGTGCCTGTTGATCAAGCCTCTCTGCTTTAGGCATTCCTTCAGTCCTAACAGATATTGACAAGGGCCAACCTTATAAAGTTTTTGCTGAGGCAAGATCAGATGTGATGGTCTCAGAACAGATTTGCTATAAAACGACGGCTACTGCTGCTACTCTTTCAGAAAGGATCACATCGTGTTAGCCGCTCTGTTGCTCACCTCACATGCCTTTCTTAGATTGCTGGCTCACTTACAGCAATATTGTCTACTCTGACTGGCAGCAACTCTCCAAGCTCTTGATAGAGCCCTTTCCCAGGTGTCTTTTTTAGTGACACAGTCAACCGGACATCACTTGTTTATTGGTTTGTTTTTATGTCCCACCGTCAGCCCAGAGTGGTGTACAAAAAGAACCACTTAAAATATAATAAATAGAATGAATTAAAAATAATAAAAAATAAAATCACCTAGCCTAAATAAAACGAGAAGTAAGGCAACATTCATTCTAAAAAGGCAACTGAAGAGACAGCCTGGTCCTGAAGCAGCCATTAATCTGCTCTTACATTACTCGCAGGATATATGCAAGTCATATTTTTCCACTTTAAAGAAGGCTACATGGGCTCAGCCATACTTCCCTCCAGAGAGAATTCCATAATGAGTTGGAAATTGGGTTAATGGAGCTAAGAAGTCCCTACTCCTGGCCCAGGGCATCTGGTGGGGGAGGGAGAGTGTTAAAAATTTGACAGATGCAAATGAAACCACACAATTGCAGCCATCATCTTGACTTCTTTGACAGCTTCCCTGTGGGTGCCCCTACTCTTGGCCACTGCATGGTGAGCAGAATTCACCAGCGGGACAACAACTAGAATCTTCCCAGCTGATCTTATCACAGCTTGGGAGGGTATGTGGCAACCACAGAAGTCTAATTTCCCTTCTAAATGTCTGGGGAAGTTAAACTGAAAATTTTCAGGTAGGGTATGAGAGACAATCCTGAAAGAAAATACAACTTTAAGTAAAAATTTAAAAGCAGAAGGCAACTTGTCCCACTGTGCTAATTTCTCTGGCAAAGAAAAGGAAAACAATATTGGACATTGCTTTTCCCGCTCCAGTTCCAGCACTAGCTCTGATTCCAGTGCATTCTCTCTGTTTAGAGAGGGAAAAGAATTTAATTTATCCATTCTGCCTGCTGTTTTCTTATCAGGTGCTTTGCTCAGGAAGAGATCATCCATTTTTTATTCCCTTGAAGAAATAAAAAAGCTGGGTCTTGTTCTGTGACATTTCTTTTCTCTTGCCATCATCAGGAATGCTAGTGTATGTGTGTATATACATTAAAAGAAATAAAACTAGCAAACAAACAAGTAAGCAGACAAAGTAGGGACTGATGTGTCAAACAATAAAGCCATAACCAGTGAAAAAGAAAAGACTACCATGGAGAAAGGGAGCTTAGCAATCATAGCAGGTGATGTCTTCCCCTTCCTCATCCACAATTCATCTTCTGAAATGTTCAACAGTGAGCAGTCAGTGTGTGTGGTGAGGTGTGTGGAGATGTCTGGGTCATTGATCAAGACTGTCCAGCACATTTTGCCAGTTTCTGTCCAAGACCATCAGCTGACTTCATTATAAATATATTTAGAAAAATAAAATCAGGTCTTTTTTGAAAGTAGAATAACATTTCAAAGAAATCTGCAGAAAGGACAATAAGATTTTCTAAGTGGGGTCCTCTAGTCAGAGCAAGATGATATTGAACTGAAAATGACTTGGTAGACAGTAGTCCCACAAACTGCACCTATGTGCTACTTCATTGGTTTATTGATCTGCAATAAATGTATGCATGCACATACATGGAGACAATATTAGGTAATATTATCTGGTGTTGTTGGATTATCTTGTTAAGTTGGATAATGTACCTTAGTATAATAAGAAAAGCAGCTTTCAGGACAGGGATTGGTCTTTTGAACCAGTCTTTGTGTGAATGCATATGTTTAATCAATCCAATCTGGATGTTGGATCCTCAACATCTGTAATAAAGAATATTTTAATGTCTGGCTATTCTTGATTAAAAAAAACTCAGATATAAGATTTAGGTTTTGAGAACCAAGTGTGACGGGAGAAGAGTTGATATAGAAAATGGGATGGAAGAGAACCTCCCCTTTTGCTTAGCAGAAGTGCAGTGTACATGGGAATGTTTCATTACTCAGCATTCATCAAGAGAAACAATATAAATCAGCTAAAGTCACAGTATTTCTGTCACTCCTTCATGCACGTATATGAACAAAATTGATACTGAAATGCTCAATAAGGCTATTGCAGGAAGGCAATAGTGTATGGGTATGACAAACTGATAGGCCACCAGATAATATTACCTGAGGGCCAGAAGAAGCAGTGATGTAGGAAAGGGGAGACAGGAAGCTGGGAAACTCCAGGCTAAGAGGTATCTTGGAGCCCAGGAGAATAAAACAGTATAAGGTTTGACCTGGAGGAATGAGGGAGAATGGAAGATACCAAATGGGATGTGCTTCAGATAAAGAACAGCTGGGGAAGTAAGAAAGATTAAGGTTACCCATAGATATTATCAGCAATAGATAAGAGCATGTAGAGAGTAAGGAAGATGACCTTGACAGAGATATATGAGCTCCATTACCAGAGCAATGAGGAGAAAAACATATCTTAAATCCACAACTGGCAGATAGCATTCGTAAGTGGCTCTGACAGACACCTCCCTAATTCACAAGAGTGTAAGGAAAGGAAGGAGTACAATCAGACTTGCAAGATTCTGTTATTATAACCAATCTCAATAAAAGTAGTTTTAGCCTTCCTGAGTGTGATCAGGGCCAGATGCAAGCATTCCATAGTTCATGCTCCTATTGGAGCATACCTGCAGTAGGGAATTTGGCTGAACATGTGTTGGCTTCCCCATGAGCTAAAATTCTGTGTTCTACCTTGTACAGACATACCTTTGTTACAGTCCAAGACCAGACTGTAAATGTTAAAACAACCAAATACAATTTAAAAATACAATAAAAAATACAATTAATTAAATAAATCACCTACTTCTGTTGTTGGGTCTGAATATTACAAAACTTTATGACCTGGACACAGAATTTAGCTATTGTAGAGGTGAGTTCAGGCTGATTATCTTTTAGGAAAAGTTCTGAATACTATTGCTCTGAACAGCCAGGCAGTCTACCTATTAAGGGTTGAATTAATTGGGAGCACAATTCTTGTAAAATCTACATCTCAGGAAGACATATTCTAAGATTTTAGTTTCATCAGAGGCACGGGGTCATCTTCCATATGAAAAGGGGGTCTGGTTGAAACTCCCATTCTTGACTATAGAGGGAAGAGCCTTGAAGCATGCTGTAGAGGAGGCCAGCAATATTTAGAATAGGACAGCTGGTATAACTATTTTGCAAGTTGCAGTTTTCTTGCTTCATTATAGAGTCTACAAGATTATTCTGGAGTTTGGTGTCTTCTAGTCTTTGTTCAAATGGACCAGCTTGCTGGGTGCAGTTGTACACCATTTGGATCAGAAGATGTACTGCACTGAAAAGGGGAGGAGCCCTAAAGGAGATGTATTGTCTTTCAGCCAGTAAGATATTATTAAATGCCAAGTTCTGGTTTCTTTGCTAGGTAGTCCAACCTCCAGTCTAAGTAAAGCATTAGGGACACATGTTGCTAGAGAAAATATGGCTCTCAGAAAACATGACATACATACATACATACATACATACATACATACATATATATATGAAATTATTTATTAAATAATAAAGAGGCCTCAGAGACAGTCCAACACATAGTGGCATGGTGTAAGATGCAGGCAGGAACAGCATACACTGAACGGCACAACCAAGTAGCTGTTCCTGCCTGCATCT